GCCATTACGTATTGCTGTTCTATGAATGAATATCCTGTAGTAGAAAATAATTTTTATGTGTATTCTTTTTTGATATTGATTACATTAGAGTAATGTATATCAAGAAAAATATTTTTAGTTATGAAATATTTTCACATTTTTATTGGAATATAATGATTGGTTGATTGTTGTTATTGTTGAAGAGCACAAGAAAATCAAATATCGTGGTGCCCTGAATAATATTTGGCTATGTTGATCGCTAACTCGAAAAGCAAATCCTCTTCCGAGGGATGGTCCAGACAATGTATGGCAGCCGCAATAGCTGGGAAATTGAAGACATGATGAGGAGTAAAGTCGACGTCAGAAGTTGCCACATTTTTTTTTAATCCATCAGCAGAAATTTTCATATTTGCAGGCTTTATCCTTAATCTTGTGAGAGCAGCAGTTGTTTTTCTGTAGACATTTATTAATGCAATTGATAGTTAGTTTTAAATGGCACGATTTGATGTTTAAATTAGCATTTTTTAAAAAATTATAAAATGTTCTTAACACATATCATTACTCACATTTACTACGACAAACTTTAAATTTCAATTCTGATTGCCCATTTCTTATGTGTTTATTTGAATCGCCACATCAAACTACAAATTTAATGAGAGAAGAAACGCCACTGTAAAAAAAATCCAAAACTTCATGTTCTTTCTACAGTGCCTTTAAGGCCCGTTAAACGTCTTGATTATTTACACAAACTTAGTGTTCCTAAGAATGATTGAAAAGGATTTTTTTAATATCAATTCCTCAATTATTTTAATCTATAAAACAAGTTGTCTTTAATTTGTTTAATTTGACATCTTATCGGAATCGTAGCAGAATTAGCTTCAGTAACTATGCCACCGTTACTCTATTCCAATTTAGTACAATTAGATGATTATATGGTAAAAAAGTCAATAGAACTAAAATATGTTGAATCAGGGTTTTTTAAAATTGGATTAAAACAGAGAAATATTGCTAATATTCACTGCCAAAAAGTTATTTCACTTTGCCAATTTTGAAGTTGTAAGCGTATTGGTAACTACACAATTCACTATTATATTAATTTTTACTTATGCATTTGGCTAAATCGCAGGATAGGGGCCGTTGGAATTTGGCACCTTTTTGTGGCTCAACTGATCGATAAGTCACCAGATGTGATAACTCCAAATTTCTTGCACTCTTTTGTAATTACTTCACTTATAATCGTCGCACCCTTTTCTTGATGAACTTTATGAAAACAATTTTTGGTAAACAAAAAGTAAGCAATACCAGAGGCCCCCATTCCGCGATTTTTTCTATACATATCAATTGCTTTATAACATGAATGATTCAATTAACATAAAATAGAAACCCTTTATATCACTTAAGGAAAACAATAACCACAATCAGCAGTGGTTTTTTTATAGCTACTTTATTTTATTTTCTAATAATGTCCAAAATGGGTCGGCCATGCACGAACGTACCTTCTAATTCAGCAAAAAGAAGATATGTTGATATTGCATCATCATCATTATTTTCATTTCGTTTTTCGTGTAGATAAATTTACAAGTCTTTCACGCCTAAAATAGAGATCGAATTACTAACACAAAAAATAGAATCTTCATTCAATGTATAAAAATTAAAAAATTACGATCACATTTCCATTTTATTTCACGAACAAAAAAATTTAATAGTTTTTAGTCTTGCTCTCTGAGAATGATTGTTTATCAAATTATTTTATTTTCATAATTAAATATTTGCCAGATAATTGATGACATCATTCTTGTTGGCATGCAACATTTAAACGTGTATTTGCTCTTTTAATGTGTATTAAATCTACAATTTATAGGAGAAATTAGATAGGCAAGTAACTCAAAAGAATTAATTTGTGGTTAATTTCTTCTTAAATCTATTATATTTGATTTTGAAAAAAATATTTTTTCTCTCTGTTTTTCAGCATTATTTTATTCGCTAATTTGTTCAAAATGTTTAAGATATATTATGTAGAGATGTATGTCACAATGCCAAAACTTCACTTTATTCATTTGTTAATTTTTATGAATGACTTTTTATTTCATTTTAAGTAAATTTTATTAATTAAAACTGTTGTAAATTATAATGCCGTTTATCCCAGTGGAAACATTCTTGAAATTGATTTCACATATATAAAAGTATCTAAGCTTTACATCCATTATAAGTATATTAACGGTAAAAAGTCATCTACGAAACAGGAGTCTCTGTAGCAGACTTAAATATAAAATACAATGATTGTTATGTGTTATCAGAAGTGATTCATTTTTCAACATATTTTAAAATCTTTTAAATTAAACACAATTATAAATAAATTGGACCATTAAAAATGAATAATGTCAAGTTGATCTGAAATGTAAAATTTCCAACTCAATTGTACCGTTTGTTTCTTACTTCCAGTTACAAAATTGTTTCTGCTGTGACGAAATATTGTATAATATCACTTTCCAAATAAATGTATCTAACAGCCTGTCTATGCATGTGTATCTTACTCCTTATTTGTCTGCAAATGTATCTTACTACTTATCTATCTGTTAATGTGTTTTACTACATATCTATCTGTAAATATATCTTACTACTTATCTATTTGTAAATGTATCTTATTACTCGTCTTAATAAAAATTGTTATGAACACTGAATTTAACAAGCGAATCAAGATTATAGCAGCTAATAAAATAGAACGTGTATAAGGGTTGCCAGTTTGAAATCAACATATTCGTCACGTGATGGGTGTATATTTCTTCAAATAGATTGCCTATTATCCCACTTATTGGTATCGGACTCATCGTTTTGTTTACTTGAGTTGCTGTGTTATTCTCGTATCGAAACATTTGTAAAAGAAGGGCTTTATTCTTTTTCAGGTAAAGGAATTGATTGATTTGACAATTAAAGGAATGTAGAATTAGTGAGCAATTTTTAGAATGTTTAAACAAAGCAATCTTATTAAGAGTTAACATAATTCATTATCTGCTTTATATCATAGCCTAGGGCCAACGCCATGCCATGCTGAATATACCGGTTCTCGTTAGATCACCGAAGTCAAGTCATTCGAGGGGTGGGGGAAAGGGCACCTGAGCCAAAAGAGCTTTTTATCCCCATTTTCTAATAGGTGCAATAAGTGATATAAATGAAATTAAGTGGAGAGAAATAATACTAACAGCTGAAGCAGAGGTAGGGGGAGGAGGGGCAAATTTATACTTACGTGACTTGATTTCGGGGTACCGGCGAGAACACGGATTTATTGAAAATAAAAATGAAAGTTACAAGAGGGGTGATACAGAACGAAAGTCATCCACGGATAGGTGGGTAATGGAATCACATCACCGAAGTCAAGCATCATTGGGAGCGGTCAGTACTTGGGAGGGTGACCACCTGGGAACACCGCGTGCCGTTGGCTTTTTCACAAATTTGGGACCTGAATAGCCGAGTGTCTAGCGCTCTGGTGCTCGATGCCACAGGTTTCGGGTTCGGAATCCCGGCAGGTGCCATGGATGTTTGTAGTGGTTCGGAATCCACTTTAAGCTGTAGGTCCCGGTCTCCTATGACTGTAAGAGCGTCACGGAGCCAAAGTCAGACTTCTACCTACGGGTGCTCCATCACAACAGAAGCTGCTTCCTTCCCCTTCAATCATGAGTACATGTATGGGCTCGTGGCTTGGCCAACAAGTGGGATAAGAAACAACAACATATCATAGCCTGTATCATAATGTGACATAGGGCCTTAAACTGATGATGATGTTTGAAGATTGTTGGAGCTCACACACCCCGGTGGTGATATACATAAAAGAATGAAAACATTGGCAATGCCCAGAGATTAAAGGAAATCGTGAAAAGAAAAGTCCAACACTTTAAAATTGAATTTAGGTGGGTTAGAGCAGAATATTCCTAGGTCTTTTAAAATTAGAATGCAGTTCATATTGTTCGACCTCTTGAATGGGCAGATGTTGGTGGTTGTCAATATTATTGAAGAATATTTCTCTAAGTTTTTTTCCAGTACTTTGAGAGGTAACAGGAGATAGCTCTTTGAATATCAGCATTTCTCATGAACCAGTTGGCATTCGTTATTTGTCTAATAGTCATATTTTGTTGAGTTTCCAAGATTTTAGTATTATAATCAGCAGCATAGGCCCATACCGTGCCAAACAAGCATAGGTGAGGAGAGGACGAAGCATAGAAGTGAAAAACCAGAAGTTTATTATGCTACTCATGCTCGAGTTTCTTGCTATAAGGGGATAGAGTCTTCTAAGGTTTTCTTTTCTGTATTTTTGTTTAACATAGTTAAAATGAAAGTTCCAATTTAGATGTTTGTGAAGATAAATTAAAAGACATTTTGTTTCTGATTCAAAAGATAAGTTGGTTTTTGAGTAGATGACTGGTTTTTTTTTATATTTTTGATTCTTGCTGAAGAAGATAGTTTCTTCGGTTTTGTTAATGTTAAGAGCAATTTTCCACTTGCCATACCAATTAGAAAGGTCATTTAGGTGTTTGTTTAATGCGCAGGAAAGATATTTAGGGTTTTTGTTTCGACAAAGAACATAAACATAATAATTTTTCTTGATAAATATAAATTACATGGCGAAATCGAGATGTTATCAATTGTTTAAACAATAAAAATTGTATGAAGTGTATGTTGTTAAGACCTACGATTTGTCAAAATTAAGTCGACAGTTCTGCATTTATAGCTCCTAGCTAAATATCACTACACGTACATTTCTATGGTGTTAGTTTTAATGTTAAAATGAATAAAACCAAGATATGATTAACATTAAGACGATATTACATCAGATTCAGGTTTTTATGAACCATTACATTTTACTATTGTCTGAAATATTTGCATAGTAAAATGTATAAATCCAATTAAAAGATTTTAGTCATCATCATTTGGTCAGTGGTCTTGCATGGAGAAAGTCCAATGGAATCTCCATTTATGTACAAAAAAAATTGTCTTGTGGCTTTAGTAGAAAATATGCACTTTTAGTGAAATATTTCCAAATTATGAAATGAGTACTCATGTGTACGTTTTAAAACTTTGAAACAAAATTATGTTAAGTTACAAACATTTATTTACCAGAAGTCAACAATCCAAGACTGGAGATCGAGACAGATTTTCTGGATAGAAGAGGTAATATAGACCGGAAAGGGAGATGGTTATCCAATATAGATCTCTAAAAATGAAATAAGTTAAATTGACGACAACTATTTGTTAGGTTAATGGAGAGCTTTGGTTGCTTAGCAACTCATCTCCTGCTTTGCATATGAAAAGAGAAGGTTCTTTAGCTATTAACCCACTGAGTTAAAAAAACAATTAGAGAAGAAATAAAAAAATACTTTTTAAAAATATAATCTAATATTATATATATATATTAAAGGAAATTTAGAAGTAATATAAAGAAAAGTTAAGCAGTTAAAATAGCTAGCAATTGAAATAAAAAGAGCATTAATGTAAAAAGAAATATAACCTATTCAAAGAAACTAACTGCATAAGAACGAAAATGATAATAATAAAATAAACAAAACGTAAAGTGAAGGAGTCAAGGTCAAATTCTAGAGAGAATTAACAGCGCAGAACATTGGGAAAGCAAAACGTTTCGACTAGTGATGAGTTAAAATTTTTTTTTAACTAAGTTTTATTTAATCTCTAGTATTTAAAAAAAGAAATATATATATATGTTCGCACTTGATAAATTCAAATTCGTATAGCAGATTTCAATTTTGTTGTGTATGCAGCTCACTGGGTTCATCTGAGCCGCATACTATTTTAATTTAACTTTTGTTAGCACTTTAAACTCGGTTTGTTAAATAGATACGCAAGATCAAGATTTTTGCAGGATTTCCCAGTTTTGAATTATTTATTTATCAACAACAAGTCCGTTAAAAAAAAAAAAAACTAACTACAAAAATTATTTTAAATAAATAAAAATTCTACCCTGACATGATGTAAGTTTCAGAAGAAATCTTTAGTTCTATTTTATTTTACTATTCGTAAGAACTTTCGAAGGAAGGTTCTCTTTGCCTTCGTTGTTGTACTCATTCTATTCTCAGACGAATCTAATGTTAATCAAGTAAAAAAAAAAAAAAAAAAATTTTAAGTCAATTCCTACTTTTTTTTTTTTTCACTATATTGCAGAAAGTCCTTTATAAATAAAGTTCATTCAATTTTTTTTAAGTTTATATGGCGCCATCTATTGTTAGACATATGCAACTTAAATCTACAAAAAACTATAACTAATTAATTAATTAATATTTGAAAAACTGCATTAACATCATGTCATCCACTACAAGTACAAAAAAAAAATGTATTTGAAGTTGAGTGGATGAATAAAAGTATTTTTTATTAACGATTGAAAATTTGAACAAGATATATAGGAGAGCGTGAGCTAATAGAAGGAATTAAAATAAACTAACTGAGTAAGAACCATGATGATAATAATAAAATAAACACAAAAAAAGTAAAGAAGGGTCAAGGTCAAATTCGAAGAGAATTAACAGCGTGGAGCATTGGGAGAACGCAAAAAGTTTATTTATTCTCTATTATTAAAAACAGAAATAAAAATATGTTTGCACTTGATAAATTCAAATTCGTCTAGGCGATTTTAATTTTATTGTGTGCGAAAGTTACAATTAAATGCAGCTCGCTGCGTTCATCTGAGCTGCGTACTATTTTAATTAATCTTTTTTTGAACACTTATACTCTGTTTGTTTAAAACCGGGGTCTCCAAACTACGGCCCACGCGGGCAAATTCGGCCAGCCAGTGTCATCAATCCGGCCCGCTACGGCTGAAATAGCTTATTGTTGCTGTAATAAAGTTGGATAAAAAAAAAACATTAGAACACTAGAAATTATAGATAATGGCAGAAAATTAAAAACGGTTTTGGCCCTTGGTACTTACTGGAGTAAACAGTACGGCCCTAAGGCTGGAAGTTTGGAGAAACCTTTGTTTAACACATACGCAGGTTCAATTCGAATTCGTGCAGAATTTTGCAGGTTTGGTTTGTGCTCTACGGTCATCTTATGGCCTCTTTTGGGCTAAACAGACCGGGACCTACAGTTTAACGTGGATTCCGAACCACTCACAAACATCCATGCCACCGCCAGGATTCGAAACCTAAATCCTGGGATATCAAAAACCAGAGCGCTAGCCACCAGGCCGCAGTAGAATTTTTACAGGAGCTTTCAATTATTTATTCATTAATAAATAAGTTCATTAAAAAAAACTAATTAAAAAATTATTTGATTAATAAAAAATAAATTCTATCTGCTATAATATAGGTTTTTTCAGTATCTCAGATTAATTCTATTTTATAAGATTTAATTCTATTTTATAAGTTTTCGAGTCTCCTGCGGTGCCATGGATGTTTGTAGTGGTTCGGAATCCACTT